ACATAATATTTGGACTTAACCGGTATAACCGGAACCGGCTAAACTTGAAACTGAACTGACATGAATTTATTGAACCGACCCGGACTCGAAATTTAACTTAAAACGAGACCTGAACACGAACCGGGGCTAAAAATATTAAAATCTAGAATAAACCGGTCTGAACCGGTCTGGTCGGACCACCGGTCTGCTCGGACCGGTCGGTCGGCGGCTGACTCAGCCCACGGCCTTGCTGCGGCCCTGGGCGCGAGTGCTGACGTGATTGGTTGCGGCATGGCCACTGCGGGCCTGCCCTGGCCATGGACGAGGGTGTTGCGTGCACCTCACCACGGCTGGACATGAACTGAGCAAGGCGTGGCTGCTACACGGCTTGCGGTGCGGCACTGGCCACGGACGTGCGTGCTGACATGCACTTGCGTGCCCCTGGCATGGCTGGCACCGCGCGTCCGATGGGACTGGCTGTTGGTGTGCTGATGTGCACTGCCAACGGCTACTGGGCATGAGTGACCACTACTGTGCACGCGGGCTACGCGTGCTAAAGTGACTGGGCGCTCGGCCGTGCTGCCGGGCACTGGCCGAGGCTTACTGGGCATGCTAGCGCGCTGTCGGGCGCGCTGGCGTGCACTGGGACTAGCCAGCGTGCGCAGGGCGCTGCTGGCTGATGGTGCTGGGGTGCTGCCAGCCCGCTGCTGCCGCTGTGTGCGGGCAGCGTGGCCACGACCGGCCCTTGCCGGCCGTTTGGCGACTTCCTCCGGCAACCTCAACATGAATCAACATGACCTGACCTAACTTGATTATATGTGCTGAACCTACTCAAGAATCATGCATTTTGTTCGATAAAGTGCCGTGGTGTGTGCTACGGGCGCTACCATCGGCTTAAGACCAATCCTCGGCCAAACATAAATTTCCCTCAACCATTAAAGCTTGACTGATCATAAAATAATATATAATGACCAACTATACCTGACTTACTCGAACAAAAATGATTATACTGAAGGATAACATGATAGGGCCTGTAGGCGTGCGCTACGTGCGCTGCCGACTTCCTTAGGCCAAAACATGGTCTAAACCTCAACTTGCCTCGACCTATCTTTTTATACTGAACACATGAGGACATAACATGACTAACTAGACTTGAATTGCACATAAGTTGCTGGATAAATCATCAATTTATTCGGTCATGACCTAATATGGCATAAACCGAGCATAAATTAGTAATTACGTGAATTTCTGGACATGAGCTGCATAAACTGACTTGAACATGATCTAATTAACATAAAAGGTTGCTGGTCATGAAGTTACCTCATTAAGTGTTCGGAGAATTTCCCATGAACGGGCATGATTTCTCGTCTCCATGCTTGTGCGTGCTTGTGTGTACTTAGGTCTAATGTGTGGCTTAGTTCTTGTTGAGTGTATGGTTCAGATTATCAGCCATATTTTTGCCCCAAAAACCTGACTTAGAAACATGAACTTGGGCTGAAAAGTCTCGGCCAATGGCCGTACACCAAGTGCCGTGCACATAAGGCACTAGGTGGCACTTTGGTGTGCTTACTCACTAAGAGTTATGCTTAGTCATGCTCAAGGTCTCTCTCTAGCCTCCAAGTGTACTTGAAATGCTGATGATGCACGTGAAGATTGGAGGGCTTTGCCTTCTTGCCCTTAAGCTCGTTTAAGGCACGTTAAGTGCGGCTACGGGCGTGCTAATGCACGTTTAGCGTGTGCTAAGCACCATTGTGCTAACACCACCCTTACCGTGCTAATGACATACTAATGACTTGCTTATGAAAAACTTAAACATGATTATCCCTTAACTAATCCTCATTAATATTAATTAATATTAATTAACATTTAGCTAATCATGATTATCTTTAAGCTAATTATGATTAATTAACTTAAACATGAATTAAGTTAATGAAGCAAAGGTTAATGACCATTACTTAATTAATGATGGACGGTGTACCAATGTGAACACACCGCTGTATAGGAAAACTGAACTTGACATAAGAAACTTTAACTGAATTAAGTATCGGAAAATTATTCCGAACATGAACCTGACATTCGAAAATTAATTCGAACATTCTTAACTTGAAAGATTAATCCGAACAATGGTATTTCGAATAATTCGTTAACTTAACTTATTAATTCCGAACTCCTTAAATAAAGAAGCGAATTGGAATTAAGTCTGGAAACTTATCCGGTTACTGAAATAATTAACCGAATAATTTATCGACTAATAGTCGAACTTGGAATATGACTGACTGAATTGCTTGAACTTGAACATGAACATGATTATTTATTAACAAAGGCTAGCTTAAAATTAAAAGCTAGTATTTTCCTTTATTAATAAAACTCGGGGTATAACATAAGCCATAAGATCTCTTTTGAAGTTTTTGAAATCCGCTGCCAGAGCACCAACATTTTCATATCCTCCAACCATTTCTTTGAACAACCTGTGTGTTTTAGCCGTTCCAATGTTGGCTTTTACACAGTTTAGGAAAAACTTCTGGTGGCCATAATTTAGTTGCATGTTTGCATCCAAATAGTGTGCTTACAAAGTCAGACTGTGGCAGTGTTTTTCTTCAAAGCATGTAATCTTGTATCCTTTTCCATCATCATATTCAAACACTGCCCGAGCCATGCAGCCAACTCTTTTTGAAACACGTTCTCGTTGAACTCCTCCTCCAACTGAATTATTTGTCCTCGACTGTGGTTTAAATCCTTCTCTGCTACAAACTATATGTTGTTTCCTGACCATCCCACTTCTAAAACGTTTGTTCGAGCTAATAAGAACATCAAATCCACCATTTGCTCCATAGTTTCTGTAATATTGCAGTCCAACTTCAAGAGTTTCAAAAGTCTAGCCAACTTTGGGCTTTATATCTTCTTTGACAATTGGTATCCAATACTTTGTTGAGTTTGGTGATATCACCAATTGGAATTGGCATTCCTCACGTGTAATACATGCTGCAAAATATAATAAGAATCATTCATAAGCCACTTAATAATTGCAATAGTTCAATGTAAGTTATGTCTAGTTGCTAGTTTAGTTGTGTCTAGTTGCTAGGTTAATTGTATCATGTTGCTAGGTTAGTTGTCTGTTGCTGCTATGTTAGGTCTCTGTTCTAGCTAGGTTAGTTATTTTTTGTTGCTAGGTTAGTTATATATGTCTGCAAGGTTAGTTATATCTTGTTGGAAAGTCAGTATTCTGTTGTTGCTAGGTTAGATGACTTTTTGTGCTAGGTTACTTGTCTGATGTTGCTAGGTTAGTTATGTCTATTTGCTAGGTTTTTTTTTTTTTTTTTT